TGTTTGTCCCTACGGAGAGAGTAACCGAACAAAAACTGCTCTCTTCGTCCTATTAAGAAAACAATTTCTTTTTTGCACACATCTGAGCCGTATGAGTCACTATTGATGTGGGATTGAATGTGGGACAGTGGGGATAATGTTTTGTTTTTTTTGTCTGAAAAAAGTCAAATCTAATGAAAGCCACTGTTAAAGCCTAACTGGTTTGAGAGTTAGGGGCTTGTTGGATTTTATTTCCAAGTTTACTTTTATGGTAGTTTGAAAATGAAGTACCTCCGGTTTTAAACATGAAACTATCAGCTGCTGCTTTATTTAATGATGCAATTATTGATTTGTTTGATGGGACAAGGGTACACAATCAACCTGGGAAACACTACAACATTTATAGCCAAGGCTAATTTGCTAATTGTGATTGCACAGTGCAATATTTCCTTAGTTTTGCTCTATTTCATTTCAGTGTTTGACTTGAGCTTATGGGAATTGACCGAAACAAGGAAAGACAAAAGCGTATTAGTTTTATTTACTGTTAACTATTTTTGTTTTACTATCCACCTTAATGGATAAGAGTGATGTCCAATTCACAGGTGAGATCTGATGAGGCTCTGAATCCAGTCAATCCATCCCAGAGGGCATTCGGTCATACGGCAAAAAGAAAGGAACCCTAAAATACAGAAATGATGGATTAAATAACGTGTAATGTACAAAATCCGGAGAAAACAACACAAATGTAACCATACAGACACAGGTGAGACACATAGGGGCGGGGCCTGTAATCAGAAACAGGAAGTAGAACTAAAGATACAGGGGTAGAAATTTTAACCCAAACACGACAAATTAAAAACCATGAGATATCTGTGATTGAGTAATTTCACAATAGTTTAATCCAATCTTGTTATGGCTTGGACTTTTGGTATTTTTTTATTTTTATAAATATTGGTTCTCCTGTAAGTCTTGTACTTCCTGCACTGTTCCATTGTTGATCCCATCCTGATGCTTTTGGCCTGTGTCTCTGTCTGCTGGCTGCTCCTTTCCATTTGTTGCAGATTGTTTTTGTCTGTCTTTCCTGTGTACAGTTTTTGATTCTTTCTTTTTGATTGACTGCGGAACCTTCCGCAGTCAACCATTGGTTTTGTATTTCTTTATTCCGTCATTTTTTTTGACACGTTTCACAGCTTTCACATTTTCAACAATTTCCACAAGTTATACATCAAAACGTTCCACATGTTTGGGAGATTATTGCTATTACTTTTGGGACTTCAGCGATTTCCGGTTTTTCCGCAATCGGACAAAAATCTGCATTGAGAATTCTGCAATGCATTTTAATAGGCCCATGCATTTTAATAGGACTTCAGCTCTTTCAGACATTTCTACAGTTTCAATGATTCAACAGTTTCAAGGATTCAACAGTTTCAAGGATTTCAGCAGTTTCAAGATTTCAAGAGTTTCAAGGACTTCAACAGTTTCAAGGACTTCAGCAGTTTCAAGGACTTCAGCAGTTTCAAGGACTTCAGCAGTTTCAAGGACTTCAGTGTAATCATGCAACCTAATAGGGATTTTTCCATGTAAACCAGTATAATGCAACTTAATAGGGATTTTTCCATGTAAACCAGTATAATGCAACTTAATAGGGTTTTTTCATGTAAACCAGTATAATGCAACTTAATAGGGTTTTTTTTCATGTAAACCAGTATAATGCAACTTAATGGGGATTTTTCCATGTAAACCAGTATAATGCAACTTAATAGGGGTTTTTACATGTAAACCAGTATAATGCAACTTAATAGGGTTTTTTCCATGTAAACCAGTATAATGCAACTTAATAGGGTTTTTTCCATGTAAACCAGTACAATGCAACTTAATAGGGATTTTTCCATGTAAACCAGTATAATGCAACTTAATGGGGATTTTTCCATGTAAACCAGTATAATGCAACTTAATAGGGATTTTTCCATGTAAACCAGTATAATGCAACTTAATAGGGATTTTTCCATGTAAACCAGTATAATGCAACTTAATGGGGATTTTTCCATGTAAACCAGTATTATGCAACTTAATAGGGATTTTTCCATGTAAACCAGTATAATGCAACTTAATAGGGTTTTTTCATGTATAATGCAACCTAATAGGTTGCATTATACCACCAGACCAAGACCCAAACGAAGACTCAGACCACCACCAGATAATGACCACAGACCAGGTTTCCTTAGTTACAGGAACCAAATTGTTTCAGCGGTGAGGGGATTTTTCAGTTTCAAGGACACTTTCAATACATTCAGTAGTTTCAAGGATTTCAGCTGTTTAAGAATTTAACCAGTTTCAAGGATATCAGGAGGTTCAAGGATTTCAGGAGTTTCCACACTTTCAACAGTTTCCAGGTTTAAAAAAGTTTCAAGGATTTCAGGAGTTTCAATGTTTCAACAGTTTCAAGGATTTCAGGAGTTTAAAGGTTTCAACAATTTCAAGGACTTCAGGAGTTTCAAATATCTATCAAGTATTTTAACAGTTTCAAGGCTTTTTAAAGGATTTCAAGGATTTTTTTTAGCAGATTTCCACATTAGATCTGTTCCGCAGTCAATCGCAATGGCTTCAGCCATTGCAAGTTTCTAGTTCATCTTGGACTTTCATTTTGCGATTAAATCATACTATTTTGTAAACCTGCATTTTGGGTGTAAAGTTAGTGGTTCACTTCATGACAGATCTTATCGTTTCCTCCGTGGAGACCAAGCCGTAGACAACCTCCAGCATGCATCTCAAGTCAATGATAAATAGATGGATAGATATATACTTTATTGATCCCCGTGGGAGATATTCAGGTGTCCAGAAGCAGCAGAAACACATCCATCCAAACAAACAAGACACATAAATAGCTAACAATAGTATTAAAATGCATCAGCACTTTAGGTCAAAGGGGGTGATAGTTGGTAGAGCATTGGCCTTTGGGCCTGAAGGTCATGGGGTCGAGCCCACCACAAGACCTACTTCACTTCTCCAACTGATGTATGCTGTTGTTGTGTCCTTGGGCAAGACACTTAACCCCACTTTGGCTGAAGCCCCCGCTGAAAGATCTCAGTTCCTGTGGACTTATCACCTGCAGGAGGATCAGTGAGGTACTGGGTGCAGCTCTGACTACCACCCCCCCGACCCAGAAATGGATTAACGGGAAGAACATAGATGGATGGATGGATGGACTTTAGGTCACAGCAGCAGAGGTGGAGTAAGTTGGTTCAGACCATTTTCTTTGCTCGAGTCTAAAGTGAGATGCTGATTACTGGTAGCATTTTTTTTAAAGTTAGCATTCCTCCAACGGATTTTCAGCTGATCCGCTTGGTTTGGACCAGGAAACCATGGACTGCAGCAACATCTCAGGTAGAAAAAAAGAAAGAAAAATAACAATTGTAAAGCTCAAAACTGTTTCAGAGCGACTTAGGACTTGCCGCCGTGTTTAAAATGTTTGTCTCCAGTGTGAACGACAGTGAGGCGGGCTCCTGAAGGTGAAGGTCGGCCTGAGAGCGTGTGTGCGTATGGGCCGTGTCAGAAATGCTTATCCCGTGTTAATTGGCTTTGTATGAGCCTCAGATGTTGTAACCTATGAGTCGATGTGTAATTACCTATTCAAGGTTATGACCCAAGTGGATTAACCAATAAAACAGCAGTCTGATCCTGACCTCTGGAATACTAAACAGCAGAGAGCCACAGACAATATGCAGGATTCTAAGTCCATAAAACTGCAGCTTGTAAAGAGACGATTACAATAATGGTTGTGAAATTAAGAATGGATAAAGATGTCTGCATTCATCAGAAGAAAAAAATCATAAGTGGGAATTTAACATGAATATAAGATTGCTCTTTTCATGCTTTATAGATTTGTGTATTAACAACTTTTATTTTTACTTAGGCTCCAAGTTAATAAAGTTTTACTGCTTAAACTTAACATCGCCATCCTATAAGAGCCCTATTATAGAATATATTTGAATAGATATTGTGTTCTAATTATTTAAAATAATAAAACATTATTCTTAAAAGTTGGGGTAGCAAGCTTTCAAAGAACAATCCATTAAACTGTAATACAAATCCATGAAACTAGTCCTTGTAAAGCGCTTTGAGACACTGTAAAAGGCGCTACTTAAATAAATAACATTTGCTTACATGTTTGTTAAAGCCATAATTTACTTTTTATTAAAATGTCTAAAGAGTCTAAAGTTAGTTCTGAAATTTAAAATCCTTATTTAAAAACATCCTGAAATGTAATCTATTAGTTACTTATAATAATGTTTAATATAGAAGTCTTAAATATTATGTTTAGAGCTAGAGAGGGCGGGACAAAGTAGTCATAGATTGGACAGGTGTGGGGGAATTGGGATAATGAGGGTGACCGACATGGTTTTTGACCGCAACGCACACACGCACACACACACACACACACGCACACATGCACACACACACGCATGCATGCACGCAACACAGCGCAGACCACTTGATTTGATAAATAAAACTTTGGAAATGGATCTGCGACTACGTATTGTGTTTGATGCTGTGAGTCAGAAAGTGGACACCCAAAGTGCTTTGAAGCCAAGACAATGTTAGTTCTTGACTTTAAAACAGTTTTCTTTAAGTTAGTTTTCATACGCATGCATTTCTGGCCTCTCTCAAATCTTTAGATCAGCTTTTTCCAGACATAAAAGTGAAAACTAGAGGAGCCTCAGTCACTAAATTATCCAGCAGCTAAAAGCATCAAATAGTGACTCACAGGGCTCTTTTTTTACACAATAATGTAGAAAGGTAGGGACCTGTAACAGCCTGTGTATTTCTTTACAAGCCATTATCCCCCCGTTTCTGTCTGCAACATCACAAACCGTGAATGCCATGGTATTATTTACTGTCAAGGAATCTCTTATTATCCAGACAGGGCAGTGGTCTTTTCTTAATCATCCGCCCTCTGCATGTGGAAATGAGAGGCCTTTTTATATTTGACTCTGACCTCTCTGAATTGAACACCGCCTCTTATGTGGAAGTAAGGATCTTCTGTACTCCTCCTTTTCAGACCTTTCTCAGGGCGCTCTGAGTGTGTGCGTCTCAGTAATCACACCAGACCGGGAATGCTCGATTTATTTAACGATTGGGGCAAAGAAAGGGGAGGGTTGGAAGAATTTGCCGCCAATTCAACGCTTTAATGGTCTTAGTAATTAGACCTAAAATGACGGACAGTGGGTTTTGGTTCAAGTCCAGGAGATGGGTCACTCCTTGTTATTGCTTACCTTATTAATTCATGATGAGAATATAGGCTTTGAATCGGCATATTCAGGTCAAAAAGTTCAAGGATTTCGAGAGGAGATGATTGAATACAGAAGTGTGAGTTGGGAATAACATAGATACTTGTTTATGTAGAAGAGCAAAAGCAGAGAAATCTTTGACCGTGGCAAACAAAAATGATCAAACATCCGTTAATAATCTGCCCACAATCTTAGTAGCTCTGTGTGAGTCATACAAATTCATTGTATTTCAATTAGATATTTATTAAGTGTTATTTATAAGCTCTTGCCAATGTTGATGTTGGTTTAGTTGCACTGAATTGGATCATACTTTTCACTTTTTACATCATCACTGTCCTTAGACCCTCCTACATCCAAAAGGAACAAATACAAAAACTCACGGGAAAAAGGGAAAAAACCTCAGGGTGGCCCATTTTGATACCGGCATCTGCTCCCACAGGCGGACAGGCTATAGACCCAGGACTCAGGCTGTAGAACGAGGCGCAAGGCCGTGCGGTGCAGGACTGAGGCAGCTCCCAAGCCAGGAGGGAGGGGGAGGGATGCCGTCCACGAGTCCAGGCCGGGGGAGACAGTCCAGTCCACAGATGTGGATGAAAGAGGCCGGATTCAGGGGTCCTATTATCACTTCTCAAAAATGGGGAGATCCTATTTAAGAATTCGAGAAGAATCAATATTTTAAGAATTGATTTGCCATTTGCAGTGAAACCACATTGGAGAAAACATTGAAAATCAGTGTTTATGAAGTAACAGCTTTTGTTCTGTAGCCTGTAAATGTGGCCGTTAACTTTGATATCAAACCAGGCAGCAGAAAACTCCTATTGTCCTGCAGGGGTACGGTAGGACGAGCGTGGTGTAAGCAGAACTTTGTGTGTGTGTGTGTGTGTGTGTGTGTGTGTGTGTGTATGTGGCAGGGAAAGCAGCACCCCTCCCCCGCAGTGGTCTGTCGGATCCACGTTCACGGTGGCTGAGCAGAGTGGAGCGGGACCCAGCGGAGGAGCAGGGCCCGCGGGGAGCACTTGGTACGCCATCAGCTCTGCACTGGCCAACCCCCGCATCCAGCCAGCTCAGCCCAAACACACACGCACGGACGATCAAAACAACGCCAAACAAACACACACTGGACACACTGAGGAGAGAGAGGAGAGAGAGGGGAGGGAGGGAGTGTGGTGAAGCCATATGTACGCAGCGAGACCAGGCAATGACCACTGGAGACTTAGCTAGTGACTAAAGATGACAAATAATAAAAACAAAAATGTGTTTAATATGATGTACTATGACGATGAATTCAATTATACCCCTAAATCTATGAACTTGAGATATTTTTTTATAAAGTTTTGATTTTTCACCCTAGTTTGGGACTGAAACATTAACACTAAAATATGAAAATCAAACCCAAATAAGTCACAATTTGTTGCTGTAAAATATTTTTCAAGTTTCAATGGCACTGTCCTCGCTGTGTATTCATGCTGTGGACGGATTTAAATATGCAAATATGTAAATGAGTAGCACAACCCACTGCCTGGAGAGACAGAAAGTGTGGGGGGTTCCATCTTGTGACATCCATCTTTTTGGCAACAATTGAACCTGAATTCTTATGGTGACTGGACTCGCCTCTCCATAGATATGACTGAAAGAAGTCAACTGGATGGATGGAGAAGTTTACTGCCAAAAATGTGTTGAATTTGTTAAAAAAAAAGAGTTCCATCTTTATTAAATTGATCTCTCTACATTTTATGGTTGAGTTCACATTACTGTTGTGTGTTCTCATGAAGACTGGTCCAAAATATACCAATATAATTATCAATCCCATTAGAAAAAAGAAGACAATGCTTCCCTCTTTTACCTTGTAAACTCTTGAAAAGTGATTTTATGTTTTTTCCACATTATAAACAAGTACTAGATAAAAGCTGAAGCTGTTTTCTTACAGATTCTTGGATCGTATTATCACACTGAAGGGATATCAGACCTGCCCTATACGGCGGACTGGCAGATTTCCAGCCTCTAAAGGGCAACACTTTGTCCTCTTCAGAACAACAATAACAAACAAAGCTGTTTGAGCTCATTACACGTGTTTCTACTGTAGGTTTATGTGATAGTTTTATGGATTCATTATTTTATAAGTAATTTCAACTGTGATGCTGTGAATAAAGACACAGTTCTTGTTGCAAACATAGTTATTAAATAGCTAAATTAAATTAAATAGTTTTCAGCACAAACAGCTAAACAATAATAGTGGTAAATATCTGAGACAAACATGAACAATTTACGAGTGAAGGAGGAAAGCAACAAACGCAGCTACGATTCAAACAAAGACAGGAACAGTGCAAAACAAACGACTGCACAGTTTATAAGTTATATATATGTTAGATATTAGTTATATAAATATGTTAGATAGTCCACAGTCTCCTGTATATCAGGCTCTGAGCCCAAACTGCTTTTCCTTCGAAGCACAAAGCTCTCTGCTCCATAGTGCCTTCGTCCATGTCCCTGCTGCAGCCGCTTCATGCTTCCTTCCAATACACACACACACGGACCAATCACAGCGGAGATTCCTTGCGGCGACCCTTACGTAGTTAGAAAATTTCGATGCTGCGCGGCAGGCGACGTGAGGGCCTTGCAAGTGACGTCACGTCACCTCCGTAAGCTCCGCGCCGCGCAAGTATAAACTAGGCTTAACTTAACTTTGAACAAGTTCAGAATTAAAATTGTGAACTTTGAACGTGAACTGTTCACTTTGAGCATGTATGAACTGAACTTGAACTAGTTCAGAAAAGCTTTGACAACACTGACTACTGCTTCATTGGACTTTCCTGTCTCGATAATACAAACTAAAGTCCATGTTGCCAGTAAACCTCAATCAAAGGCGTTTGAAAAGAGTCACCATCTGCAGACTGACCCACACGCTGCACGGAGGGACCAGTCGGAGCTCAGCGAGTTGATTTCAATCACCTCTTTTACATCCGCACACATGTCTGTCAGTGCTCCCCCAGGCCGCCCCTCATAGACCCTCTCAATATGCCACCGGTGCCAGAGAGAGCCGGGCCCCTGGAAACGGTCTGCGAGGGACAAACAGCACCTATTTATGCCTCCGGAGCCTCGGGTGAGTGAAGTAAAGAGCAGCTATTTCTGGGTTTGCATAGGAACAGGACACAATGGCCCATCATGCAGCAAGTGCCAATGTACTCTATGCCACATTGTTATTTATTGTGGAATTATTTCTGATTGAAGTAGTGTCGTGTTCAAAAGAAGAAAAGAAAACAAGTATAACTGGTGCATAAATGTCTGTGAAAAATCTGTCTGTTTCTTTTGAATACATGATGAATACAATTATTACACCCCTAAATGTATGAACCTGAGATATTTTAGTTAGTAAGTTTAGTTTGGATTTTTCACCAAATAATAATTATAAAAACCAGGTTCAGGACTGAAACAACTAAGACAAATATGAAAATTCAACACATCAAACAAAATATCATAATAAGTCATGATTTTAGCTGCAAAAATATCTTTCAAGTTTCAATGGCACTGTCTTTAGTGCTGTGTATTCATGCGGTGGACAGATCTAAATATGCAAATATGTAAATGAGCGTCATAACCCACTGCCTGGAGAGACAGAAAGTGTGGGGGGTTCCATCTTTTTGGCAACCATTGAACCTGAATTCTCACGGTGATGTCAACTTGAAAGATGGAGAAGTTTACTGCCATTTTAAGACTTCTTTCCTTATTATGCTATTATTGGAGATTTTATTCTATTTTAGTATATTGTTTTACTCGTCCAAAGCCTTTGTCGAGGTTCCGGACGAGAGGTTGATTAAGCCTTCTTTGTCAGGGCTCCTCGACTTTGGAACGACCCGAGGAGATAAGGCTAGCACGATCCAAATCCTCTTTTAAATCACTTCTTAAAAACTACTTTTATCGATCAGCTTTGAACGGTCAGTTTTAAACTTCTCATGTTGTATTTTACTGTCTGCTTTGTCTTTGTTTTGTCTTTCTTCTTGTGTTTTCTCTCTGTCTGCTTTGTCATCCTAATTATTTTGACTTTGTATGACTTTTGTAATGTTTAATATGTTTAATATTTAATGTGCAGTGCTTTGTTAACATGGTTTGTGAAAAGTACTATACAAAAGTACTTTGTGTTCTTTCTCCCCTGCTCTTCTCCCTGTACACCAACCACTGCACCTCTATCTCCAACAACGATGAGTCCGCCTACAGGAGGGAGGTGGACCGGCTGGTGTCCTGGTGCAGTGGTAACAACCTGGAGCTGAACGCCCAGAAGACAGTGGAGATGATTGTGGACTTCAGGAAGAGCACTGTCCCCCCGCCCCCACCCTCCGTGATGGACTCCCCCATCACCTCTGTGGAGTCCTTCCGTTTCCTGGGCACCACCATCACCCAGGACCTCAAGTGGGAGCCGACCCTCAGCTCCCTCATCAAGAAGGCCCAGCAGAGGATGTACTTCCTGCGGCAGCTCAGGAAAGCCAAGCTGCCTGCACAGATGTTGGTGCAGTTCTACACGGCCATCATCGAGTCCATCCTCACCTCCTCCAGCACCTCCTCCATCACCTCCTCCATCACCGTGTGGACACCGGACAAACAGAGACTACAGCGCATTGTGCGCTCTGCAGAGGAAGTGATCGGCCGCAGCCTTCCATCGCTGCAGGACCTGTACGTCGCCCGAGCTCGAGGCCGGGCTGGTCGTATCACAGCCGACCCCTCTCACCCTGCACATGGACTATTCCAACCACTCCCCTCAGGCAGGAGACTGCGGTCCATCAGGACTAGAACCTCCCGCCACAAGAACAGTTTCTTCCCCTCTGCTGTTGGACTCTTGAACACTTCTTAACCTGTCCCCCCGCCCTTTATAAAGTCACTTTACTGCCCATCATACGTCACTTTACTTCACTGTACTGCTGTCACCTTACATTGTGTGCACCATGTGCACTTGTATATTGTAAATAGTAACTGTAGTAAGTGTAGTAAGTGTTTTTTATTCTTTTTTTATTATCTCTTTCTGACTGTTGCACTGAGCCAAAGCAATTTCCAAGTCTGTGACTTCCTGTTACCTACGTGGCAATAAAAAATATTCTGATTCTGATTCTGACAAAAAAGATTATTATTAGTATTAGTATTATTATTATTATTATTAATATATTTTGTATGTACTGTGTGCTCCTCATTCTTACAGTTCTGTTACTTAAAGCTGCACTAACTCACTTTGTGAAATTTTCGAAAGTAAGCGCTGGCCTCACTCTTTCTGGTCTTCTCCCCGGACTCACAAAGCTATCACCCCCCCCCCAAAAAGTTTTTGTCCCTCTGTTGTAACTTTTGGGCTCCTTCCAGAATGTCATGAAAATCCACTATAACTCAACCATGCTTCACTAATTTATGAACAAGTTGCTTTGATCCAATTAGTGAGCTGTCGGCACAAACTCAGTCCAGAGACTTTCATCATTCACCTCTTCTTGGATCCCGCCCTCTTCAGTTTGACTTGTATGTAATTAGACAGGTGTGGCCGCTCTGATTGCTTTAGCTACACATTCATTAGCCGTCGGTAATTAGTTAAGACGAACAGTAATCCTGCCTGTACGTGTCTTTATCCTCCGGGGGGTAACTGTAGGCACGTCCCCGAGTGAGAGTTCGCCCGCTGCAGATTCATCACTGGAGGAGCGGGAGTCACCTTCTCCTCCGATCCAGGACCTAATGTAATCTAAATGTCAGCGGAACCGAAGGCACCGCGTTACAGATCTGTTTGACTTGAGCAAGAGTTTTAATGTGAAAACAGGTGACATTCAACTCTCTTGGTAAATTAAAAAAGGGTTATTCCATCCAAAAACAGTTGGATTACTTGAAATGTTACAATGTCATGATATAAAATTTTAAAGATTTGGATCGGACTGGCAATAAATGGTGTTTCATTGCCAATTGATTCCAACCCATCTCTGCGAAAGCCCTTTAGGTGCCAAAGTCATGGTGATGATCCTTATGGATATGTGTCAACACTTATGGACCTTGGTCAAACTCCCCTGTGCACCAGTAGCTATGATTCTCTGATCTGTGTCTGCGATTTCACTGGTTTTGTTTGGTCCTCTAAGATTTTATACTGTTGTGATTCAGGGCAATGTAAGAAAACATTGAAATGAATCGATTTGAATTGAATTATAGAATCATTGGATTGAGAAAACATCGACCTGGCTTTCCACAAACAACTATCATCAATATCTTAAAAGCTAATGCACTCACAAATCATAGAAAATAGTTAAGTGTGTCTTGTAAATGAAGGTAATTGAATCAAGCTGTATTTATTCATGTATTAAAATAAAAACTAGTGCCTAAAGTAAAGTATATTTCAATTTGTACTTTACTTTTTTATGATACCAATGTCCAGAAATGATCATAGACCTCGTTCCATCTCTGTGTGTAGTGAGAGACAAGTGCCCAAAAAAAACAATTGTAAAGCGTTTTGTGACTCTGGTCGGAGAAAGGCTACTTACTTACTTACTTAATAAATGTTCATAAATTGCCTTAAATTGTCATGCATCATTACTGTCCTCAGACCCCCTGCATTGGGAAGAATACAAAATTGAGAAACCTGAGTGAGGCCCATACTGAAAGAGGATCCACTCATAAATATATCTGCTCAATCATTTTGTTATTACTTTCTGTTTACAAGCATAATCTCTGCTGTTAAGGTGGGTGAAAAGCTATTGTTTCATTTTTCATTTGCAAAACAAAATGACGGTGTGCCTTTTAAATAATGCTCCCAATCACTCCCAGAACAGAGTTAAAAAGATAAATAGTAGTTGTGACTAAAATGTACTCTAATTAAAAAAAATAAAATAATTAAATCCAGTGAGAATTTGCTCAGAGGAGGATTTTACACGCAATAGCTTAACTCAAAATAGAAAGTTCAGTCAAACCAACTTTCTTTCTATTTCAACCAATTTCAGCTCACACATGATTTGAAAATACCACCATATTGGACTAAAATCAATTAATAGCCTCTCAGCGGATGGCTTTCCAAATTGCTCCTCCGTTGGTCCCCCTCGGTTCATCGACATGTGCCAGTGCAGAGCATGAAGGGAGGAGGGCTGGGGGTTTGGCTCGCTGCTCCACAGACCTGGCTCGGCCTCCCGGTTTTGGATCTATCCTTCTCCCTCTGCTGCGTTGGAATCAGCCAAAGCATCACCAGGGGCGAGCCATTTACAGGTGCCACAGTGTCTTTGTGCAATGACTATCCGTCCATCAAAAAGGATTATGCGCCAATGAAGCATATTATTGCCATTTCCAGCCAAAATGTGCAAAGGAATATTTAACTAGGTTTGTTTTAGAGACATTATATCAGAATTGTTTGCAACTCGCTCAAACAATTTCTCCACCTTTAGCTCGTCTGTTTGAACCGACCACATGGAGAATCAAATAACGCACAAAATTACCTTGGCAGCAGTGGCACAAGATCTAATCCACACCCATTATAATCCTGCAAAACAAGTCTGTTTTCACACATCCCAGAAGAAATACCAGAAATAGCCCGCATTCATGTGAATATCAATTATTATATTTTCAAATGAAGGGAAGTTTGTTGCTGAGCTGATGATGACAGCTCTGTAAAAGTTGTGAAAATCTCAGAAAAACAACAGAGTAGTGAGAAGAAAGTGAAATAAATCTCAAGCTGCTAAAATGTTTTTCATGCAGACATTTAACATGGACTGATACGGACGAACTTAGCAAGCCACACTATTTTTTTTCATCCACAATCCCCATGTCCAAAAACAGTTTAGGGCTCCTACCAAACTGAGGTAAAGGGCAACACTTGTGTTTGTGTTAAAAACAAAACTAATACAAAACCAATTTTCACGAGCCAACCAATGTTTACAGATCCCCAAACAATAAAATTCTATGATTTAGTCAATCTTTACAGTGATATTAATATTTAATATCAAATTGTAAAGAGTTGCCTCTACCTTCTGAGGAGGCTGAGGTCCTTCGGAGTGAGCAGGCCTCTGCTCAGGACCTTTTATGACTCTGTGGTAGCCTCTGCCATATACTACGCTGCCGTGTGCTGGGCCCCGGGCAGCACAGCTGTCAGGAGGGCCAGCTCCACTCTGGGCTGCCCCCTGGACTCTGTGGAGGAGGTCAGGGACAGGAGGCCCCTGGTCTCTGTGGAGGAGGTCAGGGACAGGAGGGTGCTAGTCAAAGTCACCTCCATCATGAACAGCACCTCCCACTGCACAGGACTGTAGAGGAGCTGCAAAACCCCCCCCCCCAAACCAACCACCCACCACACCACCACCCCCCAACAACCACCCCCCCATCCCCTAACCCCCACTCCCCCCCACCCCAAAACCATCCCATAAACACCCCCACCAACCACCCCCCCACCAACCACCAATCAAAAAACACCAACCCACACACAACAAACCCCAAAACACACCACCCACAACCCCCACCCACCCCAAAAACACCAACCCACAACCCAAACCCCCCCCCCCCAACAACCCCCCACCCCCCACCCAACACAAAAAACAACAACATCCCCCACCCACCCAAATACCCCAAACAAACTCCCATCTACCACACCCCACATACCCACCACACCCCAACCCCCAACCCATCCTCTATCCTCCCCCCCCCACGCGTGTGCACCCCCCCCCCCCCCCCCTAACCACACATCCACAAAATCCTAAAAATCACTTACAACCAACATACCCAATCACCTTCCCCCATATCACCCCTACCCACCTCCCCACTCTTCTCCATTCCCTACAACCCACCACCTATTTCATCATACACTCATCACCACTCATCCTATCTCACTCATACCCCCCCAACCCCCTCTCACATCTACCACTCAATCCAATCCCTCAACTATTCACCCCCCACTCCCCCCATCCTCACCCACAATATAACATTACACAAACCAAAACCTCCACCAACTCCCTATATCACCCTTTCTCAAACCCTTCACCATCCACCAAACCTTCCCCCCATCATCTAAACCAACCCCACATTCATACCCCTTCACTCCTATCATCCCTTCTCCATCTAACAACCTTTCCCCCCCCTTTTCCTACATTCACCCCCCCCTCCCAATAATCAATAAAACTCTCCTCCCAACTAAAAACCACTCCCATCCCATTCCAACACCCCCACCCTCCATTATCCAACCTCACCCACCCCCTATTCCCCCCCCCCCATCCCCCCCACAAACCAACAACCACCTCCCCCCAATCTACTACTCATCCCTATCCCCCAAAACCCCTCCAAATCCTTACCCCCACAATCCAAAAACCACATTCCCACCCCTCTACAATCGCTCATTTCCACACCCAACCCCATCACTTAAACAAACCCCATTACCCATACCCCACCCCCTATCCACCAACTCCAAAACAAATCCACCACCATACCCTATAACCCCCCCCAACCCCCTACCCCCACCACTATCCACACCCCCTATCCCTCATACAAAATAAAATCCCCATCTCTACCCAACCCCCCCCCAAAAAACACCCCCCAATATCCCTCACCCCCAATATCTCACAACTCATTCTACCACCAAAACCCTCCACCTCCCATCATTATCACACCCCCCACCTCATCCCCCAATCTCCCACTATCTCACCCTACTCCAACTCCACTATTACTATCCCCCTGAGCTATCTCACACTACGCTAATCACATTACTGACTGCTATCTCCATCCCCCTCATCTCACCTACTCAATATCACAACTATGATCATCACATTATGTTCTCACCATACCCCCCCCATGACTAGTCTCACACCTAACTACTCAACTACTCTTCGAATTCCTCCGAGATCCCGTATCTCGCCAAACGTACTCCCCACCCCCTCCCACCTTGTGCATCTCAAAATACGTCTCAAAGTGGGTGAAACACAGGAGGATGAGCACCCAGAGAAGCTCTATGTGGAGAGCTAACCTAGCAAGGCAACTTGGTGCTCTACTGGATAGTCGCACCAGACTCAGCAAGCAAATTTTGTATAGCCACACTGAATCACTCTAAACTACGTATGACCCATCATGCTTAGTATCACACGAATGCTATCACAGGATTCTATCATACCAATTCAGCAACACAATAGGGTAGCTCATTCACCGAGCGAATCCTTATAAATCCAAATTCAAGGTTCTTATCACTGGATGTGAGCACATTAGCGAGCTACGGTGGGAGTCTCTCAGGTGTTTGTCGATAAGTAGACGTCAAGGTGGTGCGCTCAGGATGTGAGCTAACATTAGACTCCCCGGCCGTGACCCCACCCCCCACCCCAACACAATCTTACTGAACCCTCCCACTCAACTCCCCCTGAGCCCAAACGACCTACCCTCACCAGTGTGCTCCCCACTTTATTCCCACTACCGATACAGCACTCAATACTCCACTACCCCCTTCTCAACATACCTAATTCCCCCCCCCCTCCTACCCCCCATCCCCCCTCACACTCTTCTCAACACTATTCCTCCAATCCCCTCATCAACACCCCTCAACAACACCTATATCTCCCCTCCCCCCCATACACAATTCCCTACACCCTTTTTACACTACCCTCTCCCATCACTCTCCACCCCCTTATCCCACACTAACATCTCCCTACCCAACTATTACCTCCCAAATTCCTCATAATTCACCTCCACCTATCAACCCCCTCCCACAACCTCCTCCCACCCCCTATCATCAACCTACACTTCTCACACCATTCAACTCCCCACCCCCCCCTCACCCCCCCCCCCCAACACACTCATTACCACCACATACACTATCACTCCCACTACATCAAACTATCACACCCCACCAACCCCACCCCCCCACACACTCACCCCCACCACCCCCCCCCACCCCCCACCCACTAACACCCCCACCCCCCCCACCCCACCCCACCCCACACCCACACCCATCCACCCCCCCCCCCACCCCCACCCCCTACCCCCCACCACTCCCACAACAAAACCACACCACCACACACCACCCCCACCACATCCCCCCACAACCCCACCACCCATATCCCCCCCAACACACCCACTCCAAAAACCAACACCCCCACACACCACAAACCACCAACACCCCCACACCACCAACCACCCAACCACCCCCCACACCCACCCCCCCCACACACCCCCCCCCCTACCCCCCCCCCCCCCCACACCCCAACACCCACACACCCCCCCAACCCCCCCCACCACCCCCCAAAAACCACCCCCAACCACCCCCAAAAAACCCCCCCCACACATCACCACACACCACACAGTCTCCAAATACCCTACCCCCAACCAACACCCCAACAAAACAATCCAACAACCCCCCACACAACCCCCCTCACCTACCACCTCACACCCCCCCTACACACCACCCCCCCACCCCACACCACCCCAACCCCCACCACCCCCCACCCCCACCCCCCACCAACCCCCCACACCCCCCCCCCAACCCCCCCACACCCACCACCAACCCACACCCCACCACACCCACCCCCACCCCCCACCACCCACACCCACCCCCACCCACCCCAACACCCACCCCCCCCCCACACCCCACCCACACCCCCAACCCACCCCCCCCACCACACCCCACACCACCACCCACACACCCCACCCCCACCCACCCCAACACACCCCCACCCACCACCCCCCCACACCACACCCCCCCACCCCCAACCACCCCCCACCCCCACACCACCCCCCCCCACACCCACCCCACACCACCCCCACCACACCCCCCCACCAACCCCACCACCCCACACCCCCCCCCCCACCACCCACAACCCCCCACACCACCCCACACCAACCCCACCCCACCACCACACCCCCACAACCACCCACACACCCACCCCCAACAACCCCCACACACCCACCACCCCACCCCCCACCCCCAACCCCACCCCCACACCACCCACAACCCACACCCACACCCCCAAACCACCCACCAACCCCCACCCACACAACACCCACCCCACACCCACCACCCCACCACACCACCCCCCACCACCCCACCAACACCCACCCCCACCCCACAACCACACCCACCACAACCCACACCCCCCACCCCCCCCACACCACCCACACCCACACCCCCACCCCCCACACCACAACACCCCCACCCACCCACCCCACCACCACCCACCCACCCCAACCCCCACCCCCCACCACCCCCCACCCACAACCCCCACCCACCACCACCCCACACACCCCCCCACCCCACCACACCCACAACCCCACCACAACCCCACCCCACCACACCCCAACCACCCCCCACACCCCACCCCCCCCACACCCACCACCCCACACACAACCACCCACCCACCAACCCCACCCCCAACCCCCCCACCACCCACACCCACCAACACACCCACCCACCCCACACCAACCACCCCCCCCCCACCCCACCACCCAACACACCCCACCACCCCACCCCAACCACACCCCACCCACCACAACCACCACCCACCCCCCCACCAACCACCCCACCCCCACACCACACCACACCCCCAACCACCCCACACCCACCAACCCACACCCCCCACCACCCACAACCCCACACACCACCCACCCCCCACCCACCACCCCCACCCCCACCACACCAACACCCACACCACCCCCCACCCACACAACCCCACCACCCACCCAACCACCCCCACACCCCCACCACACCCACACAACCCCCCACCCCCACACCCCACCCAACCCACACCCCCCACACCCCCAACACCACCACCCAACCCCCACCCACACCCCACCCACACACCCACCACCAACACCCACCACCCACACCAACACCACCACCAACCCCCCCCCACAACCCACCCAACACCCCACCACACCCCAACACCACCCCACCACCCCACCACCCACCACCCCCACACCCACACACCCCCCACCCCCACCAACCACCACACCCCACACACCCACCCCACACCCCACCCCCCACACCCCCCCCACAACCCCACCCACCAACACCCACCCCCCCACCCCAAACCCCCACACCCCACCAACCACCACAACCCCCCCACCCCACACACCCACCCCCACAACCACCCACCCCCCCACCCCCACACACCACCCAACACCCACCCCACACCAACCCCCACCCACCCCCAACACACCACACCAACACCACCCCCACACCCCCACCCACACCACCCACACACCCCACCAACACCCCAACCACACCACCAAACCCCCACACCCCCCACACCCCCACCACAACCCCCCACCCCAACCCCCACCCACACCCACCACAACCCACCAACCCCACCACAACCCCACACACCCACCCCCCCCCACAACCCCCACCACCCCCCAACCCCACCCCCACACCCACCCACACCAACACCCCCACCACCCACCCACCCACCACCAACCCCCACCCCACCACCCACACACCCCCCCCCCCAACCCACACACCCCCACCACACCCCCAACACCCCACCCCCAACCACCCACACCCACCACCCCCCACCCCCCACCACCACCACCCCCACCCAACCACACCCAACACCCACCCCCACAACCCCACACCCACCACACCCACCACCCCACAACCCCCCCACCCCCCACCACACCCACAACCCCACCCCCACACCACCCCCACCCACCCCCAACCAACACCCCCCAACCCCACCCCCCACCAACCACACCCACACACCACACCCAACCCCCCACCACACCAAACCCCCCACCACACCCCAAACACCCCCCCACACCACACCCCCCCAACACCCCACCCACACCCACCCAACACCCCCCACACCAACCCACCACCCCCCACACCACCAACCACCCCCCACCACCCAACCACCCCCACACAACCCCCACCCCCACCAACCCACCAACACCCCCCACACCCAACCACCCCCCACCCACACCCCACCCACCCACACCCCACAACCCCCACCACCACCCACCCCCAACCCCCACCACCCACCCACCACCACAACACACCCCCACCAACCACCCACCCAACCCCAACACCCCCACCCCACCAACCACAACCACCCCCCACAACCCCCACCCACACCCCACCACCCCCCCAACCCCACCACACCCACAACACCCCCAACCCCCCCACCCACCCCCCACACCCCCACACCAACCACCCACCCCACCACACCCCACCCAACCCACCACCACCCCCCCACAACCCACACCCCCCACCACCCCCCCCCCCAACCCACACCCCCCCCCCACCCACACCACCCCCACACACCACCCCACCCACCCACACCCCACCCACCCCCAACCCCACCCCACACCACACCCCACCCCCACACACCCCACCACACCCACCAACCACCAACCCCCCCACCACCCCCACCCCACCCCACCCCCCCCCCCACACCCCCCAACCACCCCACACCCACCCCCCCAACCCCACACCCAACCAACACCACACCCCCACACCCACCCACCCACACCAACCCCCCACCACCCACCAACCCCCCACCCCCACCCACCCCAACCCCACCCACCACCAACCCACAACCCCAACACCCCCCCACCACACCCCCCACCCCCACCCCACCCACCCCAACACCACCCACAACACACCCACCCCCAACCCCCCCACACCCACCCACCCACCCACACAACACCACACCACCCCACCACCCCACACCACACCCCCACACCCAACCCCCCACACCACCACCCACCCCCACCCACACCAACCCCCACAACCCACCCACACCCCCCCACCACCCCCACACCCACACAAACCACACCACCCCCACCACCCCAACCCCCCACCCACACCCCCCACAACACCACACCACCCCCACACCCCCCCACCCACCCCCACCCCCAACCCCCCACACACCCACCCCCACCCAACCACCCCCACCCCACACCCACACCAACACCCCCCCACCACCCCACCACCCCCCCACCACACCCCACCCCCACCCCCACACCCCCCCCACCCCCACCCCCAACACCACCCCCCACCACCCCCACCAACCCACACACCCCACCCACCACAACCACCAACACCCACCACCCCCACACCCCACACCCCCAACACCCACCCCACCCACACCCCCCACACCACCCCCCACCAACCCCACACACCCCACCCCACCACCCCAACCACCACCCCCACCCCCCACACACCCACACCCACCCCAACACCCACCCCACACCCACACCCCCCCACCCCCCCAACCCCACCCACCCAACCCCAACAACCACCCACACCCACCACCCCCCACCCACACCCCCCACACCACCACACCCCCCCACCCCCCCAACCACCCACACCCAACCACCCCCACCACCACACCCCCCCACCACCCCCCCACCCACCCCCAACCCACCACCCCACCACAACCACCCCCCCCACCCACACCCACCCACCCACCCACCACCCACACCACCCCCACCCCACCCCCCACCACACCCCACCCACCCACCCCACCCAACCACCCCCACCCCACCACAACCCCACCCCCACCCACCCCACACCCACCCCACACCCACCACACCACCAAACCCCCACCCACCCACACACCACAAACCCCCACCCCACCCCCCAACACCACCCACACCCACACCACACCCCCACCCACACAACCACCACCCCACCACCCCAACACCCACCACACCCCCCCACCCCACACCCCCACACACCCCACCCACCACCCAACCCCACCCCCCCCACAACCCACCCCACCCCACCCACCCCACCACACCCCCACCACCCAACACCCCACCACCCCCCACCCCACCACAACCCACCCCCACACCCCACCCCCCACACCCCACACCACCCCCACCCACCACCCCCACCACCACCCCACACCCCACACCCCCCACACCACCCCACACCAACACCCCACCACCACAACCCACCCCACACACCCACCAACCACCCCACCCCAACCCCACACCACACAACCCCCACCACACCCCCCCCACCACCCAAACCCCCACACACCCACACCCCACACACCACCAACCCCACCACCACCCACCCCACCCCCACCACCCCCCACCCACACCCCACCAACACCCACCCACACCCCAACCACCCCCACCCCACACCCCCACCCCCCACCCACCCCCACCACACAACCCCACCACCCCCCCCACCCAACCACCCACCCACCAACCAACACACCCCCACCCACACCCCCAACCCACCAACCACCCCCACCCCCACCACACCACCAACCCCCACCAACCCCACCCAAACAACCCCACCCACACCACCCCACCACCACAAACACCCACCCCCCCAACACCCACACCCACCACCCCACCACAACCCCCACCCCACCCCAACCCACCAACACCCAACCCCCCAACCCACACCCACCCCCACAACCCACCAACACCCACCCCCCACACCACACCCCCACCACAACCCACCACACCCCCACCACCCCACCACCCACCAACCCCACCCACCCACCCACCACCACCCAACCCACCCCCAACACCCCAACCCCACCACCACACCCCCCACCCACCCACAACCCCACCCCACCACCCCCCACAACCACCACACCACCCCACACCACCCCACACCAACCACACACCCACAACCCCACCCCACACCCCCCAAACCAACCACACCACAACCCCACCACACACCCCCACCCCCCCCCAACCACCCACCCACACCCCACCCCCACCAACACCCACCCCACCCCCCACAACCCCCACACCAACCCCCCCCACACCCCACCACACCCAACCCCACACCCACCAACACCCCCCACCCACCACCAACACCCCACCCCCAACACAACCCACCACCCCCCCAACCACACCCACCCCCACACACCCACCACCCACACAACCAACCCCACCACCCACCCCCCCCAACCACCCCACCCCACCCACCCCCAACCACCCCACACCACACCCACCAACACCACCCACACCCACCAACCCCACCACCAACACACCCACCCCACCCACCACCAACCCACCCACACCACCCCCACCCACACAACACCACACCCACCACCCCCCACAACCACCACCCCCACCACCCCCACCACCCCCACACCACCCCACCCCCACCCACCAACCCCACCCCCAACCCCACCAACAACACACCCCACACACCCCACCCACACCACACCCCCACACCCACCACCCCCCAACCACAACCCACCCACCCCACCCCAACACCACACACCCCACCCCACACCCCCACCCCCACCCACAACCCCCACCCCACCCCACACCCACCCACCCAACACCCCCACACCCACACCCACCACCCCACCCCACAACCACCACCACCCCCCCACACCACACACCCACAACCCACCACACCACACACACCCACCCACACCCCCACCCACCCCACCCACCCCCACACCCCACCACCCACAAACCCCACCAACCCACCCACACCCACCACAACCCACACCCCCACACCCCACCACCCCCACACCACACCCACCACACCCAACAACCCCACCCACCCCCCACCACACCCCACCCCCACACCCAACCCACCACCCCCAACACAACCCACCCACACCACCACCCCCAACCCCCCAACCACACCCACAACCCCCACCCACACCCCCACAACCACACACCCACACCCCCCACCCAACCCCCCCACCCCCCCACACCCACCCCCACAACCCACCCACACCCCACACAACCACCCACCCACACCACACCCCACCACACCCCCACACCCACCCCACAACCACCCCACCCCCCACACCACAACACCCCCAACCACCCACCCACAAACCCCAACCACCCCACCCCCACCCACACCCCCCCACCCACAACCCACCACCCCCAAACCCCCCACCCCCACAACCCACCACCCACAACACCCCCCACCCCACCCCACCAACCCCACCACAACACCCACACCCACCCCCACCACCCAACCCCCACCCACCCCCCCACCCACCACACCCACACCCAACCCCCACCACCCACCACCCCCAACCACACCACACCCCCACCACCCCCACCCCAACACACCCACACCACCCCCACCCCCACACACACAACCCCCACCCACACCCCACCACCCCACCCACACCCCCACACCCCACCACCCACCCCCAACACCACCACCCCACACCACCCCAACCCAACCCCCACCCAACCCCACACACACCCCCCACCACCCACCCACACCCACCCCACACACCACCCCACCCCCCACCCCCACCCACCCAACACCCACCACACCACCCCCACCCCACAACCCACCCCCACCCCCCCCCACACCCCAACAACACCCACCCACCACCCAACCACCCCACACCAACCCACCACACCCCACCCACAACCACCCCACCCAACCCCCACCAACCACACCCACCAACCACCCACCACCACCCCCCCACCCAACCCCCACACCCACACCCACCCACCACACCCACCCCAACCCCCACACCCACCCACACCACCCAACCCACACCCCCCCCACACCCCCACCACCCCAACCACCCCCCACACACCACACCCCAACCCCCACCACCCCACCCACACACCCCCCACACCCACCCCACACCCCCACCCCCACACCCACCCCCACCAACACACCCACCCCCCCACCAACAACCCCCCCACAACCCACCACCCAACACACCCACCCCACACACCCCCCCCACACCCACACAACCCCACCCCACCACCCACAACAACCCACCCCCCCACCCCACCCCCAACCACCACCAACACACCCCCCAACCACCCCCACCCACACCACCACCCCAACCCCCCACCACCCCCACCAACCCCCCACCACCCCACCCCACACCCAACCCACCCCCACCCCACACCACCCCCCACACACCCCACCCACACCCCCACCCCCACCCCACAACCACCCCCACCCCACACCCCACCCACCCCACCACACCCCCCCCACACCACCCCCCACCCACACCCCCCCAACCCCACCCACCAACACCCACCCCACCCCACCAACCCACCACCCCAACACACCCCCCCCACACCCACCAACACCACCCACCCCACCCCACCAACACACCCCACCCACACCCCCCACCACCCACAACACCCACCCCCCACACCACCCAACCACAACCCACACCCCACCCACACCCCACCCCCACCACCCCCACCCCACACACCCACCCACACCCACCCCACCACCCCACACCAACCACACCCAACACCACCCCCCCCCACACCCACCCCACCACCCACCCCCCCACCACCACCCAACCACCCCCACCACCCAACCCCCCCCACCCACACCACACCCAACCCCACACACCCACCACCCCCAACCCCACCACCCCAACCACCCAACCCACACCCACCCAACACCCACACCACCACCCACCCCCCACCCACAACACCCCCCAACCCACCCCCACCCACCACACCCCACACCACCAACCACCCCCCCACACCACCACCCCCCACACCAACACACCCACCAACACCCACAACCCCACACACCCACCCCCCACCAACACCCACACCCACACCCCCACCCAACCCACCCCCCACCCCCACACCCACAACCCCCCCAACCAACCCCACCCCACACCCCACCACAACACCACCCACCCAACCCACCACCCACACAACCACCCCCACCCACCCCACACCACAACCACACCCACCCCCCCACACCCACCACCCCCACACCCCCACCCACCCCCACCACCCCACCCAACAACCCCACACCCACCCACCAACACCCACCACCCCCACAACCCCACACCCACCAACCCCACCACCCCCACACCACCCCCACCCACCCAACCCCCACCACAACCCACCCCACACACACCCACCCCCCACCCACCCCCCACCACCCCAACCACCCCCCCACCCCCAACCCACCCACACCCACCCCAACCACCCACACCCACCCACACCCACACCCCCACACACCACACACCCCCCACCCACCCCACACCACCCCCCACCCCCCCCCCCACAACCCACCAACAACCCACCAACACCCACCCCCACCAACCACCCCAACCACACCCCCACCCACCACACCCCACACAACCCACCACCCACCAACCCCACCACCAACCCAACCCACAACACCCCCCCCACACCCAACCACCACCACCCAAACCCCCACACACCCCCCACCACAACCACACCCACCACCCAACAACACCACCCCCACCCACACACCCACCCACACCCACCACACCCCACACCCCACCCCACCACCCAAACACCCCCCACCACCCACACCACACCCCCCACACCACCCCACCCCCACACCACACACCCCAACCACCCACCCCACCCCCCCCAACCCACCACACCCCCCACCCCACACCCACCCACAACCCACCACAACCCACCCCACACCACCACAACCCCCCACCACACCCCACCCCACCCACCCCCCCACCACAACCCCCCCACCCCACCACACCCACCCACACCCCACAAACCAACCACCACCCACCCCACACCACCCCACACCCCACAACCACCCACCCCCACACCACCCACCACACCCCCACCACCACCCCACCACCCACACCACCACACCCCCACCACCCACAACCCCACCCACACCCCCAACCCCACCCCACACCACCACCACCCCACCCACACACACCCACCCCACAACCCCCAACCACCCCCCACCCCACACCCCCCCACCCCACCCCCACACACCACACAACCACCCACCCCACACAACAACCCACCACCCAACACCCACCCAACCACACCCCCACACCCAACACCAACCACCCCAACCACCCCACACCCACACACCCCAACCCACCAACACACCACCCCCCACAACCCACACCACCACAACCCACACCCACCCCCCCAACCACACACCCACCCCCACCACAACCACCACAACACCCCAACCCCACAACACACCCCCACACCCACCCAACCCCACCACACCACCCCCCCCCACACCAACCCCCACACCACCCCACCACCCACCCACCAACACCCCCCACCCACAACCACACACCCACCCCCACACAACACCCACCACCACCAACACACCCCACCCCACACCACCCAACACCCACCAACCCACCAACACCACACCCCACACCCCCACACACCCCAACCCACAACCCCCACCAACCCCCACCCCACCACCCCCCACCCCAACACCCAACACCCACCACCCACCCCCCACCACCACCCAACACCCACCACAACACCCCACACCCCACCCCAACCCAAACCCACACCCCACCCACACAACCCAACACCCAACACCCCCCACCACCCACCAACCCCCACCCAACCACACCCCAACACCCCACCCACACCCCACCCCCACCAACACACACCCACCAACCCACCCCCACCCACCCCCAAACACCCACCCACCCCACAACCAACAAAACCCCCAACCACACCCCACACAACACCCCACCCCAACCAAACCCCCACACAACACCCACCCACCACAACCACACAAACCCCACACCACACCCACCCCCCCACCCCACACCCAACCACCCACCACCCAACACAACACCCACCCACAACCCACCACCCACAACCCCCAACAACAACCCACCAACCCACCAACTACCAACACACCACAACCCCACCCCCACACCACAACACCCCACACCCCCCACCCCACACCCACACCCAAACACCCCACCACCCCACCAACACACCACCCCCCACACACCACCCACCCAACAACCCACCACACCCCAACACCAACCCACACCACACCACAACCCACACAACCCAAACACCCACCCAACACACCAACCCACACCCACACAACCCACCACACCCCACCCCACCCACACACCCCACACAACCCACCTACAAACCATCCACACCACCCCACAACCCACCCACCCACAAAACAAACCCACCCAAACAACCACACCACCTCCAATCCCCCAACTAAACAACACCACAACCATCAAACACCACCCAACCCAACCCCCACTCCCCACAACACCAACCCTCAACACAAACACCCACCAAACCACCACACCCCCAACACAACCCAACCACAAAACACAACACCCTCCCACACCCCACAACCCCCAAACCATCCAACACCACCCCAACCCAACAACCCCACCACCCACATAAACACCCCCACAACAAAACACAAACACTCCCCACACACACAAAAACACCAACCCCACCAACCAACACAAACAAAACAACCAACCACAACCACCCCCCAAACACACCACAAACACCACCACCCACCCCACCACCCCCCTTCCCCCCCCCCAACCAAACCCTATCCATACTAAACACCTCCACCTACAATCACCAACTCAACCTCTCACACCACCCATACACATCCCACCCTATCCAAACTCCACTCACACACTTACTCCCCACCCCCACCTTCCCATCCCCCCCAAAAACAATCCCAACCCCACCCCACAACACATCAAAAAACCATCCCCTAATAATTAATCACTCTCCTCTCACCTCACATCCACATCACTCCCTATACCCACCTCTCACCTCAATCCCTCAATCAACCCCCCCACACATCCTCCCCTCCCACTACAAAACCCACAACACCATCACATATCATACATTCACATCTACCCCCACCATCTCCCCAATACCCACCCAAAACCCCTACAACACCACCCCATCACTTTAGATCATCTCACACCTCATCTCAACGCACTTACCACACCTCCACCCCACCTATATCAACCTTTCCCATACTCTCTTCCCCCCCCATCCCATCCAACTCCAATCACCATTCCATAAATCAACCAATTCCTTCATCACACCACTCCATTCAACCACACCCCCAAACCCCACAATCAACCTCTAACCTAATCCCACCCCCAACCAGACCAAATCAACCTAGATACATTGACACATCCTTTACTATCAACCCTCGCTAAAGACAAACAAATAAATCCCACACAAAACACTATCACAAGAACCAGACACATAACCCTCAAATACAAACAAAAAACATAACCTAACCCTCCCTGCTACCTATGACCTCTAACCACAAGATTGAACGAGAGGCGCCAATTTCCCACAACAACACCAAGATTAACGGATAATAGCCTATCTTTTGGAGAAAGGCAACATGTCATGCATCATTACTGTCCTCAGACCCCCTGCATTGGGAAGAATACAAAATTGAGAAACCTGAGTGAGGCCCATACTGAAAGAGGATCCACTCATAAATATATCTGCTCAATCATTTTGTTATTACTTTCTGTTTACAAGCATAATCTCTGCTGTTAAGGTGGGTGAAAAGCTATTGTTTCATTTTTCATTTGCAAAACAAAATGACGGTGTGCCTTTTAAATAATGCTCCCAATCACTCCCAGAACAGAGTTAAAAAGATAAATAGTAGTTGTGACTAAAATGTACTCTAATTAAAAAAAATAAAATAATTAAATCCAGTGAGAATTTGCTCAGAGGAGGATTTTACACGCAATAGCTTAACTCAAAATAGAAAGTTCAGTCAAACCAACTTTCTTTCTATTTCAACCAATTTCAGCTCACACATGATTTGAAAATACCACCATATTGGACTAAAATCAATTAATAGCCTCTCAGCGGATGGCTTTCCAAATTGCTCCTCCGTTGGTCCCCCTCGGTTCATCGACATGTGCCAGTGCAGAGCATGAAGGGAGGAGGGCTGGGGGTTTGGCTCGCTGCTCCACAGACCTGGCTCGGCCTCCCGGTTTTGGATCTATCCTTCTCCCTCTGCTGCGTTGGAATCAGCCAAAGCATCACCAGGGGCGAGCCATTTACAGGTGCCACAGTGTCTTTGTGCAATGACTATCCGTCCATCAAAAAGGATTATGCGCCAATGAAGCATATTATTGCCATTTCCAGCCAAAATGTGCAAAGGAATATTTAACTAGGTTTGTTTTAGAGACATTATATCAGAATTGTTTGCAACTCGCTCAAACAATTTCTCCACCTTTAGCTCGTCTGTTTGAACCGACCACATGGAGAATCAAATAACGCACAAAATTACCTTGGCAGCAGTGGCACAAGATCTAATCCACACCCATTATAATCCTGCAAAACAAGTCTGTTTTCACACATCCCAGAAGAAATACCAGAAATAGCCCGCATTCATGTGAATATCAATTATTATATTTTCAAATGAAGGGAAGTTTGTTGCTGAGCTGATGATGACAGCTCTGTAAAAGTTGTGAAAATCTCAGAAAAACAACAGAGTAGTGAGAAGAAAGTGAAATAAATCTCAAGCTGCTAAAATGTTTTTCATGCAGACATTTAACATGGACTGATACGGACGAACTCAGCAAGCCACACTATTTTTTTTCATCCACAATCCCCATGTCCAAAAACAGTTTAGGGCTCCTACCAAACTGAGGTAAAGGGCAACACTTGTGTTTGTGTTAAAAACAAAACTAATACAAAACCAATTTTCACGAGCCAACCAATGTTTACAGATCCCCAAACAATAAAATTCTATGATTTAGTCAATCTTTACAGTGATATTAATATTTAATATCAAATTGTAAAGAGTTGCCTCTACCTTCTGAGGAGGCTGAGGTCCTTCGGAGTGAGCAGGCCTCTGCTCAGGACCTTTTATGACTCTGTGGTAGCCTCTGCCATATACTACGCTGCCGTGTGCTGGGCCCCGGGCAGCACAGCTGTCAGGAGGGCCAGCTCCACTCTGGGCTGCCCCCTGGACTCTGTGGAGGAGGTCAGGGACAGGAGGCCCCTGGTCTCTGTGGAGGAGGTCAGGGACAGGAGGGTGCTAGTCAAAGTCACCTCCATCATGAACAGCACCTCCCACTGCACAGGACTGTAGAGGAGCTGAGGAGCTCCTTCAGTGGAAGACTGAGGCACCCTCTGTGTAGGAAGGAGCGCTACCGCAGGGCCTTTATCTCCACCGCTGTCAGACTGTACAATAAGTCACTTTAAGTCACTTGCACTGGGACTAAAAACCTGCACTAATATTGCCACTGTTTCTTTAACTGCCACTTTTTATTGCACATAATATTTCCTGCACAGACTGTACGTTTTGGCTTTAACATGTTGCACACTTTTGTCTTTTGCACATATCTTGAGTGATTTTATCTGTGCCAAATGTGACATGTGAATTTCTCCAGTGTGAAATCAATAAAGTCTAACTTATCTTATGAATCTTATGATAAAATATCTCCTTCTATCAAAACCACCACAGAAACTGTTCACAATCAGACACAGACATAATGAGTTGAGTGGGACAGAAGTGTTCGCAAAGCAAACATTTAGAACTCAATCTCTGGAATGATTGCAACTTAAATCATGTAATTCACTTTTCCATTTTCCATTTTTGAATGACTACTTCAATTTAGAATTGTTATGTAAATCCTATTGTAAGCACTTGCTTGTACTAACTGCACATGTAAAAAGGGTTTAGGCAAAATAAGCACTATCTTCAGCCTACTCCTTTTTGGTCTTATTTCTGCTGTAAATGTAATGTTCTGTAACAATGTGTAATAAATATGTGACATAAATAAACCTTAAACTTCAAACTGAAGTGTTGACAGCAATCACAGGTTAATCTCACCTGCCATTTTTGAAGTTTTTGTTTTGGTTTTTTTCACCTGTCATTGCAATACGGCTAAATTTACAGTAACTCCGCAAATACAGTAATCCGTATTCAATCTACCGGGCGGCTGCTGTCAGTGATCATGCGACTGAAGTGAGCCATCAGTCAAAATTAACAGCCTCATCAAGCATTCAAGACTGGATCCAATAAAACCACTGAAGCTCAATATTGTTTTATGGTATATTTACATTTTAAAGCCTCATTTAATTATCCAGGGAGCTTTCAAAGGATCCCTCCCTCTTTCAAACACATGACTGAGTTTCATTAAAATATGGATGTAAAAGGACACAGAAGTGCTGACAAGGAGAATGAGGACTTCACGGGCAAAAAACGGGGAAGTATGGAAACCCGATTGTTGATGTTTGGAGACGAAAGTGTCCGAGCAGAATGGACAAAGAAACAGATGTGTGACCCCGCTCCAGTGGCAGACAGCAGACTCGCAAGACTCGGCCAAAAGCTGTAAGCCGCTTGAAATGAGTCCTGGTCCACACATCCAGCCCCGCACTGAGAGCTGGACATTACACTGCAGTTTGCTTTCAGGGATTTTACACTAACTCATTACTTTAGAATGTGTTTGAAGACATCATTGTAAAGTGTTAGCGATTGTTACAGGGCTAAGAAACTGTGGCGAGCTATGGTGGCCAGCTATGGTGGTGAGATAAAGTAGCTAGCTATAGTGGTGAGCTATGGTGGTGAGATAAAGTAGCAAGCTATAGTGGTGAGCTATGGTGGTGAGATAAAGTAGCTAGCTATGGTGGTGAGATAAAGTAGCTAGCTATGGTGGTGAGATAAAGTAGCTAGCTATAGTGGTGAGCTATGGTGGTGAGATAAAGTAGCAAGCTATGGTGGTGAGATAAAGTAGCTAGCTATGGTGGTGAGATAAAGTAGCTAGCTATAGTGGTGAGCTATGGTGGTGAGATAAAGTAGCGAGCTATGGTGGTGAGCTATGGTGGTGAGATAAAGTAGCTAGCTATAGTGGTGAGCTATGGTGGTGAGATAAAGTAGCTAGCTATGGTGGTGAGATAAAGTAGCTAGCTATAGTGGTGAGCTATGGTGGTGAGATAAAGTAGCTAGCTATGGTGGTGAGATAAAGTGGTGAGCTATGGTGGTGAGCTATGGTGGTGAGATAAAGTAGCGAGCTATGGTGGTGAGATAAAGTAGCTAGCTATAGTGGTGAGCTATGGTGGTGAGATAAAGTAGCGAGCTATGGTGGTGAGATAAAGTAGCTAGCTATAGTGGTGAGCTATGGTGGTGAGATAAAGTAGCGAGCTATGGTGGTGAGATAAAGTAGCTAGCTATGGTGGTGAGATAAAGTAGCTAGCTATGGTGGTGAGATAAAGTAGCTAGCTATGGTGGTGAGCTATGGTGGTGAGATAAAGTAGCTAGCTATGGTGGTGAGATAAAGTAGCTAGCTATGGTGGTGAGCTATGGTGGTGAGATAAAGTAGCGAGCTATGGTGGTGAGCTATGGTGGTGAGATAAAGTAGCTAGCTATAGTGGTGAGCTATGGTGGTGAGATAAAGTAGCCAGCTATGGTGGTGAGATAAAGTAGCTAGCTATAGTGGTGAGCTATGGTGGTGAGATAAAGTAGCTAGCTATGGTGGTGAGATAAAGTAGCTAGCTATAGTGGTGAGCTATGGTGGTGAGATAAAGTAGCAAGCTATGGTGGTGAGATAAAGTAGCTAGCTATGGTGGTGAGATAAAGTAGCTAGCTATAGTGGTGAGCTATGGTGGTGAGATAAAGTAGCTAGCTATGGTGGTGAGATAAAGTAGCTAGCTATGGTGGTGAGATAAAGTAGCTAGCTATAGTGGTGAGCTATGGTGGTGAGATAAAGTAGCAAGCTATGGTGGTGAGATAAAGTAGCTAGCTATAGTGGTGAGCTATGGTGGTGAGATAAAGTAGCTAGCTATAGTGGTGAGCTATGGTGGTGAGATAAAGTAGCGAGCTATGGTGGTGAGCTATGGTGGTGAGATAAAGTAGCTAGCTATAGTGGTGAGCTATGGTGGTGAGATAAAGTAGCGAGCTATGGTGGTGAGCTATGGTGGT